CAGACAGACAGACAGACAGACAGACAGACAGACAGACAAACAGACAAACAAACAAACAAACAAACAAACAAACAGACAAACAAACAGACAAACAAACAAACAAACAAACAAACAGACAAACAAACAGACAAACAAACAAACAGACAGACAAACAAACAGACAGACAGACAAACAAACAGACAGACAGACAAACAAACAGACAAATAAACAGACAGACAGACAAACAGACAAATAAACAGACAGACAAACAAACAAACAGAAAAACAAACAAACAAACAAATAAACAAACAAACATACAGACAAACAGACGAACAGAAAAACAAACAAACAGACAACCAAACAGAGAAACAAACAAACAAACAGAGGAACAAACAGACAAACAAACAAACAGACAAACAGAGAAACAAACAAACAAACAAACAAACAAACAGAGAAACAAACAAACAAACAAACAAACAGACAAACAAACAGACAAACAAACAAACAGACAGACAAACAAACAAACAAACAAACAGACAAACAGACAAACAAACAAACTAACTAACTAACTAACAAACAGACAAACAAACAGACAAACAAACAGACAAACAAACAAACAGACAAACAAACAGACAAACAAACACCCTAACCCTGAAAATCTAACAGAGTCAATGTGAACTCAAATGAAGTCAGAGTAAACAGGTGAGTTTCCAGGTGATTTAAAAAACTGAACAGTCTCTGCAGGACGAACATCAAGCAGCAGGTAATTCCAGAGTCTGGGGGTCCGATCCCCTCTGTGTTTCAACTCAGACCTCGGCTGCTCTGAGAGACTYTGTCCAACCTGTTTCAAGCTTTAAACTCAGTGAAAGGGTCCAGAATCAAGACAAACAACAACAAGCAGCCTTAAGACACACTGCTGGTGATGGAGCAGAGATCCTACAGGCTTGTTAACATGCTGTGTGTGTGTGTGTGTGTGTGTGTGTGTGTGTGTGTGTGTGCGTGTGTGTGTGTGTGTGTGTGTGCGCGTGTGTGTGTGTGTGTGTGTCCACCGACCCGTAGGAAAGTGTAGAGACAGATGGACATCCAGTTTGTCAGCAGCTTCTCCACCACTGTCTCAGTTCTGTAAAGACAGGAACAGATGAAACCAGATCCAGACCCCCCAGCCTGACCTCCTCTCTCTTTATTTGAGGTTTTACCTTCGCAGCATTAGTTTGGGGTTCTTGGCCACGTATTGTTCCACCAGGTCGTTCAACAGAGTCTTGAGGATGTCGGTAAAATACTCCAGTTTCCCATGAAGTGCCACGGTTAGCAGAGAGGCTACGTAGGCCCGGTCYCTGGGAGAGAAGGTCCGCTGGCTCTCCAGGGTGTGGATGAACTGTGTGTGTGGGGTGGGGACACAAACACTCATGAAGACTCATAAAACAGACAGCTGTTTCAGCAACGACCCCAGCGCTGATGATGACTACCTTTGTGAGGAAGAGTTTACTGTTCAGCAGGTTGGACAGCTGCACCAGGCCCTGCTCCACCGTCTGACGCCGGCACTCCTGAACGTCCAGGTCCCGCCTCAGAGGAGACTCCCGGTGCCCAGGGAARAAAATGCGCTCTGCGTACATCCGGTAGTCCAGGAAGGGGATTCCTGAGCCCACCAGGTCGCTGGACATGTCCATCATCTCTGTCATTAAGTCTGGAGGTGACAGGTGGAAGGTCAGGAGGTGATCTGACACCCCCACCCCACCCCACAGAGAACTGACGTACCCGTGAACTCCTTCTTGCAGCGGTCTCTCACACTGGTCTCCAGGTTCTCCAGCTGGATCTGGACCTTCTTGTAATCTCGGAGAGCTTGCTTACTCTTCCTCCTGTTGGAGAGCAGCAGGATGGATCAGAAGAACCAGGAATCAGCAGGACCTGGGGCCTCATGTACAAAGACTTGCGTGGATTTCTTACTGAAACGTGGCATACGCAAGGTTTTTGTGCATGAGCACTGTTGATACATGAGGCCCCAGTATCAGATCTCATCAGAAGAACCAGGAGTCAGCAGGACCAGGTTCAGAACGGTTCAGAGGAAATAAAGTCCAACAATGAAAAAGCCTGAGGAGAACTTCTCTCACAGGTTTGGAAAGTCCCATAAAACCTGCTGCTCAGTCAGGAATAGCAGCACGACACAGCAAAGATTCAACTCTGAACCAAGATGAAAAAGAGCTGAAACTGGGGTTTTGGTGGAAACCCAGACTTCACAGAAGAAACATTCAAAGTTTAAACACCTCCCAGAACGACTGAACAGAACACAAGCACAGTACCACAAAATATTTAAGGTGTGATTAGTCACACAAACTAACTTCAGAACTGGTCAGTTCTGTCTGTTCTGAGCTCTCTTCAGAAAAAGATGTTTATGCAAATAAGTTGCTGTTGGCCACGCCCTCTCAACCCTTTGTTTACATTAGCTCCACTCTCTCAACCTTTTGTTTACATTAACTCCGCCCTCTTGAACTTTAATTTACATTAGCTCCGCCCTCCCAACTTTTTGATTATGTTAACTCCGCCCTCTCAACCTTTTGTTTATGTTAGCTCCGCCCTCTCGACCTTTTGTTTACGAAAGCTCCGCCCTCTTGACCATTAATTTACATTAGCTCCGCCCTCCCAATCTTTTGTTTACGTCAACTCCACCCTCTCAACCTTTTGTTTATGTTAACTACGCCCTCGCTACCTTTTGTTTATGTTAACCACGCCCTCGCTACCTTTTGTTTACGTTAACTACGCCCTCGCTACCTTTTGTTTACGTTAACTACGCCCTCGCTACCTTTTGTTTACGTTAACTACGCCGTCTCGACCTTTAATTTACATTAGCTCCGCCCTCTCAACCTTTTGTTTACGTTAGCTCTGCCATCTCAACCTTTTGTTTACGTTAGCTCTGCCATCTCAACCTTTTGTTTACGTTAGCTCTGCCATCTCAACCTT